AGCCTGGGGTTAGTTGTGGGTCCTCGTTGTGCTCTCTCGAGGACTTTTGAGGCGTGTTGGGAGTTCCTGATGGTCGAACAGGCGAGACCAGTAACTTTCTGCACAAGGCCCTGTTTCTCCTATGATTGTTTTGCCTTCTCGGGCCATGCCTCCAGAAGTCCCAAGACGGCCGCATAGGCCCTCTCAGAGTGCCTCCAAGACAGGCCCCTTAGGCTATTTCGGGCTATGTGGCGACTTCTCCAAATAAATCGTGGTCAATCGCACCTACGCCCGCGCATAAGTTGCCCACGAGGTCTCGCGTGAGCGCCCTGGTTGGTACGGGGTGTACCGTGCTGTCGGCTGCGCACGCCATCGCGTAAGGTCGGCATGCCACTCCACTCCGCGTCACACCCCTTCTTTCCGCCTCTCGTTTGCAGGCGAAGACATTCAAACCTTGTACTTGATTCCTGGAAGCCAAGTCAGGGGCAACGTTCGCGAGGGATAAGCTCAGGGGGGATGCATCGACCCCCGATCGCCCATTCATTGCCGATAGGGGCCTGGTAGGCCACCCCACCGAGGACTGTGTGGATTCGTTCTCGAGTGTCTGTCGCAGATCTGCCGGCGCCGTATCGCCGACTGCAGCTCGCTGTCCCCGCCCCCCGAGCCAGTCCCCTCTCATATCGTTGCCCCTCGTGTGGCCGCGGTGCCGTATCGCCTTCTGTGCGTTCCGTCATGGGCGTGGGGCGGCACCCGCCCGACGGTATCCACCCGGCGACGCCGGCGCTCCGCGCCGTGAGGCGCGCGTTGGTCGCTCGCGACGGTGGTCGATTCTGGGCTGTCGGCGGGGGGTCGCGTTCCCCCTCCCCTCTGGCGCTCATTGCGCGTTGTCGGCTTGACTTCTTGCCCGCGGACGACTTGTGTGCACCGTACCGCGCTGGTCTTTCGAGGCGGCGTCGATCCTCCCCTGGGAGCGGTACTGTGCACAGTTTCTCGATCTCAGGGGCCCAAGAATTGTGCTCCCTATTGCGCTGAAGCGGGGCTTGAAGGGAGCCCAGACATTGGACGGTGCATTTCTGCCGCTCTCGTATCTCAGTGTATGACGGTGTTGGCTCAGCTTCTGATTCTGTCCAGGCCCCGCTCTGGCATCACTTCGCGTCGCCATGGTTTGTCACACTCTCTACGCAGTCGCATCCACACGCGGTGTTGCGTGAGCGGTCGCCAGCTTCCCCGCGGATGTCAGTATTACTGCGCAGTTCACAACTGTGTTCTAGTCTTGCTCTCTAAGTATCCTTTTGACTGCGGTGGAAGGCTTGCGTGGCTTCAGAAATCATTTTAGTTTCCGCACCTGCATCCGGTAAGCTGACTTTAGGCTTGACTCAGTCGAGTTGGCTGAACTTCCTGAGATCGTCATGGCAAGCCTGCGGTTCAGGGGATGCGCTTGCATCCTAATTCATTTTGGCTGAGGTTATCCTGTGTTATCGACGCTCGTTTCGATTGTTTTTGTGTCGACTCGCGATGGGTTCATTGTAGGCCCAATTTGGCTAGTGCACAGGGGACGCTTCGATTTGCGTCAACTCCACTGGTTTTGGCCCTCTTTGGCTGGTGTCGGCTCGTCATTGGCTACGGCAAATCTAGTTTGGCGCATACTTGCAACCGTGCCGATGTAAACTCTGAGTTTGGATTTCTTCAGCTCCGGGTACTTCAGTTATGGCATCCGAGTGTTCGGCTTTATTCGGGGGCCCCCAAACGGTGTGGTGACCACACCGTGTGGTGAGTCGGTGGGGATTCGGGGTCCCCGCACGGTTTTGGGACTCGAGTCCCTCTCCGAGGATGTCTCGGGCGACAGGGGCCTCCGAGGTCCCAAAAAACCGTGCGTTGAAGGACCGTGCGGCGAGGTCTTCGGGGGATTTGGAGGTCACCGCACGGTCTGCCACCGCACCGTGTTGGGACCCCAAAGTTATCCGTGGCTTGGGCCGGATGTTCGGCCGTATCTCGGGCAGGCCGCCCTTTCTGATCAAGTGCATACTTGAGTCGTTTGGCCCCGATCCCTTCATCTTCGATCATTGCCTCCAGTACCCGAATTAATCCGGATCTCATAACAATGGGGGGGGTCTGCTTTTGGGGGGGGGTCTAACGGGCTTCGTCAAACACAATTGTGGGGGGGTCTCGATTTTGGACCCTTTGTTGCCTGTCTGGGGGGGGGTCTACTTCGGGCTGTCAAACACTTTTTTGACCCCTTCCTGTATTATGAGATTTGAATTACTTGGGCCTGCGTCAACTCACATGCGTGTGTCGCTCCACGCAGTCTCTGCTTGGCGCAGCGCAGGCTTTATCCGATCATGCCTGCAAGCGAGTTTGGTCTCTTCGGGCGAAGCGGCCTGGGCCAAGTCGAAGTTTGGTTTATATTTTGTGTGTGGGTATGTTCTGTTTCGCCGCGCACATTTACATTGGTGGTCGGCTGACTGCCTCTTGTCGTCCGAGGCTTCTCGGATGTAGAGTTGCTGAGCTCTTCTAGGGCGCGAATTGATTGAGCTGTTGTAGTTTAGCTGAGCCTGTCAGGGAAGACATATATTACTGAAGCAATGAGATGCGTAACCGTTGAATCTTCCGCACGAGTGCGTGCACTTCAAAGTATGACGATGCGACATGTGTTTTTGTGCGTGACAGTTCCTGACAGTGCTTCCCTTCTGATTGCATCTTCGTGCATGCCATGCTTGCCGAGACTGTCATGGGAGACTGCCTCGAGGGTATCGCGACCGAGCACGAACAGGCCTTCCCCCCGCTGTCTGTCTGCATGCAGTGCGAGCTGATAGCTGCAGAAGGATCGAACACGTGCTTGACATCTATCTCGAGTCTCCGACGTGTAAGTGCTTGCCCCTTGGTCAAAGTTGCAGTCTACCCCAGATCATCTCCTACACTCAATAAACCCGATGCCCGATAGTTGCGCCAGTGCGTATTTGTATAAGTGTATTAGTATGTACGTTCATACACGCACATATATATATATATACATATTACACATGTATGCCGAACTACGGCGCTTGGGGATGTTCACCTTGTCGTTGGGTTCAATACTTAGCGTTGGTTGATTGTTTAAATTCTGCCGCACGGTGGCATCGAGTTCTGCAGTGGCTCGACCGTTTGCATGCATACACATATACGTATATATATGTATATACATAGGTGTGTGGGTTCGGCGAAATTGGTAGCTCTGAAGATGGTGTGCGTTTGAAGGGCGTAGCCATCTCGCGGTATCTCGCACAGGCCTGTCGCGGTATCTCGACAGCCTGTCCTCAGGCCTGTGCACAGGCCTGTGCACAGGCCTGTGGTGGGCCTGGAGAGGGGCCGACGCCCCGCGTCACGCTGTCACGCTGGTGCATAGCCTGTGCACATGCCTACCACAGGCCTGTCGATAGGCCTGTGGGGCAGAGTGAGGTTTTGTGGTTCTGCGTTTCTTGGTGCATGGTGGCCAAGCGCCTGGGTCTTTGATCGTGAAGAGTGCAGGGGTCAGAGAGTTGCGAGCAGAGGCAGAGTTGACCAGAGGTCTTGGTGAGGGAGGGAGACAGAGAGAGAGAGAGAGACGTCAGATGTACAACCGCTGTAACGTACATGATTGCAAGGTGGGTGAGGTGGTCAGAGCGAGAGGGTAAATAATTGGAGTGGGGATCAGAGAGCATAGGACGATCATCGGTATTGTATTTTGTGCATACATACAGAGAGATTTAGAGAAGGAGACAGAGAAATTTAGAGAGGGATAACTCATTGAGAGGAAGAGGGATAATCACACAAGCATTTACAATGCTGATTTGCGTCCTTACATGTTGTTCAGAGCAGGTCTGGGACAACGGAGTTCAGAGCGAGGTGTAAGGGCACGCCACGTAAGCAGAGACTCCATGTATATGAGAGATGCGCAACCGAGAGAATCAGATCTAGAAAACGAGAGAGAGAGAGAGAGAGAAACAAAAAGAGAGACAGAGACAGAGAGAGAGAGAGAGAGCAAGGGAGAGAGCAAGGGAGAGAGAGAGAGAGAGAGAGAGAGAGAGAGGGAGAGAGAGAGAGAGAGTGAGCCGGTTTTTGACGGTCCCGAGGCCCAGTAAGGGCCTTCGGAGGCCGAAACCAGCGAAACACCTCCCGTCGTGATTTATTCACAACGCGAGGAGGTCCGGGATCGCAACACGTCGTGCTCTTGCCATGACTTCCTTTCTCTTGCTCGCACGCGGCGTGCGGGCCTGCCCATGCGGTAGGCTCGCGTCGTGTCGACCGGTGGCGGCCCTGCCGCGGGCGCTCAGGGCTGAACGCCGCCAGTGGCCCGGAATCGGCCCAACGTGGAACGATCTGGCGAGCGGGGAGCCGCCGAGCGTTCGAGGTGGAACGACCGACGCGGTGTCAGGAACCAGCGCCAGGGTCGTCACGACGCGAGCCTGCTGTTCACCACCCACCAAACCACCCCGACCCAACCCGAAGGCCTCAAGGTGCCCTCCATTTCCAGTGGGGGGGGGGGTCGGGGAACATCGAACAAAACACATGTGGAGCCCGTACCCCCCCCCCCCAACCCGAAATTCGGGTCTTCGGGTCGGGTTGGGGTGGTTTGGTAGGCAGTCATCACCGGGGCCGGCGCGACCCAGCCGTCTGGGCCCTCCGCAGGGAGCGGGCCGCGCGGGGCCGCCTCCCCGCCCGCGCGCCGCGGAAGGGGGGGCCCGCGGCCTCCGGCGCGCGCCTCCGCGGCCATGCCGGTCGCGCAGGCCAGCACCGGGCCGGGTTGCAGGGTTCCCTCGTTCCCCGAGTTGTTCTGTTTGTTTCGTTTGCTTGCGTGCTTCTGTTGTTCTTGTTGTGTTTCTTGTTTCTGCCGTTCGTCGTATTATTAGTAGTCGTATTCATACAATGCTCCGTTATTGCTATGGTTCTTATTCTCATCATCATCATCATCATCATCATCATGATGATGATCATCATCATCATCATCGAGGGCTTCTCGAGCGCACCTGCGCTCACTGCGGCGGCGGGTGCGGGCTGCCTCTGCGATGGTCGTGGCTGCTCGGATCGACTGGATTCGGCGACGGGTCCTCCAGGGTGCGCATCTTCATGTCTCGACGTGCTGTTCGTCGCTCCCAGGCCTTTCGAAGATCAAGTTGGAGCTCATCTCCGATGGCATCCGCTGCTCGACCATGTCACAGTCGGTGGCCCTGGAGTCGTTAGCAGGCGTTTTGAGGCTGGCTCAACAGCACACTGCTGTGGACCGTGGACATCGTTATAGTGATGGTCGTCAACAGGTGTGTATTTGGCTTTCTCCTCGTTTGGATCGTCCGCCCGAAGCGCGACCTCATGCTGATGATTGGGGTGATGACGGAGGGCCCGATGACGATGGTGACGATCGTACTCGCGGTCGCCGTCGCGGTCGTGTTGACCTTCCTCCCGCCCCTCCTGATCCTTGGCTCGACCCTGGGTGCGACCCATGGGCTGCGGCTGCGTCTCAAGGCGGTGGCGATCGTGCATGCAAAGCCCCACGACGACATGGTGATGGCGATGCAGTACCGCTGGCAGACGGTACAGTTGTGCATCTGTTGCCGGAGATTCCGCCTTCCCGTTCAACAAGGCGGCGCCAGTCTTCTTTCCAGATGTGGCCCGCGTTGTGCATCAGTCTGCTCGTGATAACGATGATAGTGAACAAGAACGCGTTGAGCTTGAGCTTCATTCCCCTGGTGGCTTCGCTAGTACAGGTGCTCGTGACACAAATGGTATGCTTGATCGTGCTGGTGAGAACGTGGAGAAAATCGATGCAATTCTTCGTGAACTTCGTCGGCCTTCTGGTGCCTCTTGTCGTGCTCGGCCGCGGCCTCCGCCTATCAGCGTGGAGGAGCCTGGCGGTGATGATGATATTCTCTATATCACTTTTCGTGGTTCTCGCATTCCCGTTGATGCTTACTGGCAGAGTCGTTCGCCGTTCGAGTCCACTGAAATCGAGTTCCCCGAATGCGACCCCGATCTGGAAAAGCTGGATGCGTTCGCCGAGTATCCGCACTGGATGTGGAAGTCCGTCGCTGAGGTTAATCCGCGCGAGCAGTACTGGAGCGCCTCCGAACAGAGAAGCCGCGCTGAATTGAATCGTGCTCAACATGATGTTCCCGTCGACGCGAATAGCAATACTGACAGTGACTTGGCCGCTTTCTTCGGGTCCACTTCCTGACCTCGTGCTGCGATGTGTTCTCGTTGTTCGGCCTGTTCTTCTTCTTTGGTGTCAATGACTCCGTCGTACCATGCAGCACCTGGTCTGGTTGTTCGGCGGCTCCCTCGGCTTCCCCGGTGTCTATGGCATCTTCGGCGGTGTAGTGTTTCAAAGTCTGGAGACCAGCGGCGAGTGCGGGGAGGAGCGGACGGACTTCATCGGTACGCATTGCGAAGGCGTTGCCAGCGATGTCCAGCAACCCTGCCTTGACAGGGCCGCGGATACAGAAACTCAGTCTTTCATTCCGAGCATATTCCTGGGATTCCCCATGCCGAGAAAGGTATATGTGGATAGTCAGTACGACTAACGAATGCAGAACTACTTTCGAAGCTGGAGGATCACGGCTGCATTTCTTGAGTTGCACATGTTTGTCAACGGTTTCCTATAATAGTACATTTGGACTTCAAGTCGTGTCGAGGTTGCGTTGCGTTGCTGGGCGGTGGCTCATTTGCAGCTACGGGCTTCGCGGCAGTTGATGGCCTTCCACGCGGCGTCCAGCAGTTTTTATCATTGTGTCTTCGGCAGAGCGGGCTGCCCCCCGACAGATATGACGTCGGCCACGGCAGCTGATGGCATCTTTCGCTGTTTTGCAAACTTTCGCGGGCCATCTCGCCTACATTCTTGGGCGCCTCGGCGTGCGTGGTGGCTCACTGACAACTGTGGCTTTGGGCCACGGTCGCCGCCGGCCACCCACTCTGATTTTGTTACTCGCTTCTCATTCTGTGGGTCCTTTCACCGACTTCCCCCACGGACCTTGGCAGCTGTGGTCTGGGGCTGCGACACTCGATGGCCACCTGCGCCGTCGCGAACTCTGGCAGAGGGTTTCGGAGCGTGTTTCTCGCCGCGGACAGGCTTGTCACCGTGCTGTGTAGGCGCCCGCTGTTGGCTCCTAGGCGTTTGTGGCATGGGCTGCGATTGCCTCGGCCGCCGAGTGTGGCGCCGCAGGTCGGCACATGCTGTGGCATCCCGCGGGTGCTCAGCGGGCGGCCTTTGTCCAACCCGACGTTTCAAACGCTTTGGTAGTCTGGCTTGTAGTTACGTGACCCACGAACAAAAAATCATCATCATCATCATCATCATCATCATCATCATCATCATCATCATCATCACCAGTATCACCACCATTTGTTTCAAACTGAAAAGGGAAGAAGGTTCAGGCAAGTTTACTTGCATGGCGCTCGCCCCCGCCCACACCCCCTCCCCTCGCCCCTCTTCTCACGAATGCTAGCGTGCCAGTGTCTTTCGACTTGCGTGAGTTCCGCACGTGCTAGTCGTTTGCGGCTTTCGCTTCAGGTTCAGGCCCCCCGCCCCCCGCCCATGCAAGTAAACTTGCCGGAGTCTAGAGCCAAAACAGGCTCCCTGCTCCCCTGACCTTCCAGGAGGGCTAAAACATAGCGCCGGGACCTCGACACCTAAACTCTTGTCGACGTTTTAGGCAGTCCCGATAGGTCTATCGGTCTGGAGGGCTATGTTTAAGCTCTCTAGAAGGTCAGGGTCCTCCCTGCCCGGGCCCAGGAGGCACCCAAACGCCCCAAGAGGGCTCCAGGGTGGTCTTCAAAAGGGCACTCGGCGAGATCGTTCCATTCCCATTGAAACACTTACATTTTCAGGATCTGCTTGTGGCGGGTTGCCCCAGCGTGCGCCACAACCCCTGACGCCGCCCAGACCCCCCCAAGACAGCCAAGAAACCCCCAGGAGAACCCGAAGATTGTCCGAGACGGCTCCAAGGAGGCCCACGATGGCCCAGCCCGGAGCCTCCCTGGCCCCCCCAGAGCTTCCAGGTCTGTTCCAAGCCGGTCACAGACGGGCCAAGACGGCCTCCAGACGGCCCGAGATGGCGCCAAGACGGCCCAGGAGGTCCCCAAGACGCCCCAAGACGGTTCCCAGAGGACCCACAAGAGGGCCCGAAGAGGCAACACTTGTCCCATTCCCGAAGGAAAACGCCCATTTCTAGAAAACTCGTTTCTTTGATTTTGACGGCGTTCAAGACAGAGCCAAGAGGCTCTCATGAGAGCCCCAAGACGGCTCAAGATGGCCCCCGGACGGCCCGAAAGGGCCCCAAGACGGCCCAATGGGCGCCCAGGGCCGCCCAAGACGGGCCCAAGAGGGCCCAAAGAGGTGCCCCAGGGGAGGGACTCGAACTGACACGTCGAGGCCTCCGCTCCGAGAGGGTTCCGGAGACCGCCAGCAGGCCCGTAAGGAGTCTCCAAGGGGACCCAAGAGGCACCACAAACATTCAAAATCGGCCCCAAGATGCTCCCCCGAGAGGCTTCAAACTGCATCCACGAGGCTGCCCAGAGGCTCCCCCAGTGACCCAAACAGGCATCAAAGAGGCCTCTAGCCCACAACGCAGGCACGGTGGCAGGATGTGCCGAAGGCTATTATTCGGAGGAGCACACGGAGTGAAAAGACAGGCATTTGAAGAATTTCAGCGTTCTCGCTTTCTCGGGCTTCTGGTAGCCCATGACGCTCAGAAAGATTTCCAAGGTTGTCCCACAACGGCCCGAGGGACTCCCAAGTGGGCCGAACAACGGCGCATAAGAGGGCCCCAAAAGGGTCCCAAGACGGCTCAAGAGGGCCCGAAGATAATTAGCCCAGGCACCCCCAATATTGCCCCACGACGGACCCAGATGGCCTCAAGACGGCACCAGCGGGTTCAGGATGGCACCCGATGGCTTCAAGATGACGCGAGACGGCCCAAGATGGCCCTGGCTGGTTTTCAAACAGCCCCAGAGGCCACCAGGCCCACTGGAAGCCTCGGGGCCCTTCAGAGACGGCCCAAGAGGCCCCCAAGGAGGCCCGAGGGGCATCGAGACGGCCTACGGGGGCCCCAGAACGGCCGAAAAGGCCCAAGATGGCTACAAGACCACCCAAGGTGCTCACAAGACGTCCCAAGGGGCTCCGAGAAGGCCCTCAAGAGGGCCCCGACCAGGCAATGATGACGATGATGATTGTGGTGGTGGTGATGAATATGATGGTGGTGGTGATGGTGATGGTGGTGATGGCGGCTATGACGATGATCATGACGATGACGACGACCAGAAGGAAGATGAGGAAGTGGAGGGGGAGGGTGAGGAGGAGGAGGAGGCGTTAGAGGAAAAGGAAGAGGCGGAGGAGGAGGAGGAGGAGGAGAAGGAGGAGGAGGAGGAGGAGGATTCCCAACCTGCAGACGCCCATTACGTACTCCTTCCTCTCCCGCCTGTCTCACCCTCATCCTCATCGTCCTCGTCCTTGCTCCTCCTATTCATCCTTCTTCATCCTCCCCATCCCTCGCCCCTCATTTGCTCCCATCCCGTCGTCCCTCCTACTTCCTCCCTTGCTCCCTCCCCCCCCCCTCCCTCTTTACCGGTCTCCCTGCGCGTTAATTTCGCCACGCTGCTTAATACCCATAGGCCCCCAACATGGCTTGAAAACGGCCCAAGGAAGTCCGTAGACGCCCCATGATGGTATCAAAAAAACGGCCCAGGAGGCCCAGAAGAGGCCCCCAGAGACTCCCAAGAGATGCTCAAGAGGCTCCCAAGAGGCCTCCCAGATACCCCTTTACGAGGCTCCCCCGGAGGCCATCCACTGCTCCCGAAATGGCTTGTACAATGGCTGGGGGAGCACGTAACCCAAGCGCTTGGCAAAACTCTCCCCAGCGGTTCGACACGTGAAAGTTTTCTTAGTCGGCGTTTCGACACTGGGCGGAAGGGGGGAAGGGGGGGTCTGGTTCCGGACCTCTGCTTAGTGCGACTGCTTGCAAGAGTGCGGCCTCTGGGGGAAACTCCACCCGCTCGAAACAGGCGCCAAAGAACAGCCAAGATCTACTCCATGGTGGGGGGGGACGGAGGTTTTGGAGCCCGCGCCGATCGGGAAAACAAGGAGTAAAAAAACTATCACCAGGCGTTCATCCCAGAAGGCAAGGAAGGGACGGCGCTGACTCGCTGCAGGCGTCTTCGAACCGCCGCCCCCCCGGTTGCTTGCAAGAGGGGTTACCTGCAAGAGGGGAGCGCGGCCTGCCAAGGTTTTTTTATATGTATATAAGATAAATGTATATATATATATATTCATATATACATATACATACATACATACATACATAAATATATATATATATATATATATATATATATATATATATATAATGGCAGGCCCCTCCGAAAGTTACCGTGTGGCGGTCAGCCCCGTCCCGCCGCCACCGCACATGGCACCAAATATCAAGACAACTCGCCTCCAAGACTCCTCCTCCTCCTCCTCCTCCTCCTCTTGCCAGCATGGCCCAAAGTGGTCCTCATAGACGGGCCCGGAAGGCCCAAGGCGGTCACGGGCGGCCTCCAGGATGGCACGAGGGTCAAGAACCAAAAACTTCAAATTCCGCCGCATATTTGGACGAGCGCGTTCCACTACTCGCAAAGTAACTACTCGCAAATGGCCTGGATCCGCTGGGGTTGTAAAGTGCCCTTCTGGGAAAACCCATGCTGGTTGTAAAGTGCCCCATCTGGTTGTAAAGTGGCTGGTCAGTTTGCAATGTGACCCACACGCCGGGGTGAACCCTTCCCCGAAGGGGAAGGGGTTTGGGAGAGGAAGTTCCTCAGACCACCTACGCCTCAAAGAGCAGATGGGATTTGCGGTGCGCGCTCCCGGGCGCAGCTACAATTTCAGCGCGCGCGAAGCGCGCTAGTCGTTATCGAATCTACACCCGGCAAAATATCGGTTCGTCCAATATGGTGCAGGTTCCTTACCGGTAGCAGGATTCATGGCTCACGTCGAAACGCCGACCTTTTTGGGGCCTCCTGGGGGCATTTGGAGATTTCAGAAGCTTCTTGGGGGGGAGCATCTTGGGGCCTCTCGGGAGCTTGTTGGGGGCATCGCGAAGCCCTTTCCGGCGCGTCTAGGACCGTCGTCGGGCGCTTTGGAACCGTCTGGTGCCTTCGGAGGCCGTTATGGAAACGTCTCAGAGGCCGTGTTGGGCGCCTCTTGGGCCACCTGTTTTTCTGTTTTTTGTTTCGGGTCGTCCTGGAGCATTCTGTGGGCTCTCGTCGGGGCCTCTCGTGCGGTCCTGGCGCAATCCTGGGGTTCCTTTCAAGCGGTGGCGAGGCGTCATGTCTTGCCTACAGGCTCACCCAAACATGTTCTACGAACGTGTCGCGGCTTGTGCAGCATATTTTTAGACAAGCTTTGACTAAGCCCGTATTTGTTTAATACATCGCCTGAATGTTTATAGAACGTTGTTGCTTGTTCGTTTCGAAGTTCTTCAGTTCCAAAAACGTTTCGTCGTAGACCTATCGGAATACCAGGATTGTCGGCCACTGCTCAAGTCTTGGTCCATATAAACAATGTGAAGGCGAAGACGGCCCATTTAGGGAAACATGCGCGCTCTCCTGCGTGAAAGGGGCGATGCTTGCTTGCAAGGGGCCCTGTTGGGGGTCCTCTTGCAGCCTTCGGGGGGCGTCTTGGAGGATTTGTAGGTTGTCTTGAGGCCATATTGGGGCGTCTCGGCGCCAGCCGTGCCCACGAGGAAGCTGTTGCGAGCCGCTCTGGGCCCTCTCTAAAGCGTCGAAGGCTCTCCGCGTGAGGGTGTCCGGAGCAGCCAGGGCTCCCGGACTTCTTGGCCAGAAGACCCCCCCCCTCCACGCTGGCCCGACCAGATTCCCAGGGGGGGGTTTTAGTTACAGTCGGACCGGGGTATGAGATCGATGTCGGTTCGGGAAGGGTACCCTGAGGTTCTTCGTGCTTGTCGGATGTCCTTGTGCACTCTGGGGAGGGTGCACTTGGATGTTCTGTGCGTTTTGGCCGGCTGAGGGTCTCGTTTTCTGGAAGGGTGTTGGCCTGGCCTAGGTCTGACTGTAGGGGCACTAGTCTCACACGCCGAGCAGACCTCGAAGGGTCGGCAACTTGTGACAGCTTGCCACACGTACAGCCTGGTCTGCGACGACGGCTCATCGGGACCCTCCTGGTGCCCCGTTCCTCGTGTCGGCGACCAACCCTCCAGACTGCAACGCGTTTTCTTGTGCCCCCGCCTCGTGTTCTGGCTCGTCTTCTCCCGCTTCCCCAGTCCTCTGTCGTCCCCCCCCCCTATGCGCTTGCTCTGTTGCCCCCCCCTCGTTCGTGCGTGTGGGCCCGCTTCGCGTGCGCCTGCGCGGCCGGGGGGGAAGATGAGGAGGGTCAGGGCGTGAGTGAGCGAGTGAGTGCGGGTGTGAGGAGGAAGAGGCAGTAAGAGAGGGTGAGGAGGAGGAGGAGGAGGAGGAGGAGGAGGAGGAGGAGGAGGAGGAGGGGGGAAGCCAAAAAGGAGGCGGAGAGCCCGTGCTGACCAATCCCTGTTGATGGCCTCAACCTCGCTCCGCGGAGCTCTCGGGACCACATGCCACGTGTTTGCTGCGAGGGGCTGTCGGCTGGGGAGGACCAGGAGTGTCGCGAAGAGGCGGAGAATCGAGGAGGAGGAGGAGGAGTAGGAGGAGGAGACGGACAGATATCAAAATGTCGTGGAAGTGAGCAGGATCGGAGGTGGTGGGGGAGCGGAGGGAGGTGGATGAAGAGGAGGGGGGGGACAGGTGCTGAGAGAGGAGGAGGAGCAGGGTGAGGAGCGGGAGGAGGAGGAGGAGGAGGAGGAGGAGCGTGAGGAGGAGGATGAGGATGTGTTCTAGGGTAAGTGGGATGATGTTGGGGTCCTGTGGGAGGGGAATGCCTTGCTGACGCCTGCAGATCTAATACTATATGCCCTCTCGGGCTTCTCTACTTTTCTGTGCCTCTTCGCACCTCCTACTCCGCTTGCTCCGCATTCAGGTGTCTTACTGGTTTACCTTTTTCGACGCAGCAAGCTCGTTCCTCATGTCTGGCCAACGTCAAGGAGCAGGATGTGGCCCCGACTTCGCCTCCGCAGGCAGTCGAGGCCGCCATCGCCGCCGCCGTTCGCGCAGACATGACCCTGCCCAAGATCGCCAACGACATCCTGCCTACGTCTGCTTCGTCGGCCAGTGCGACCACCCACCAGGCCGCAACCAGGACCGTGGTGCTCACGAGCCTCGGAGGGGTAGCCCCCACCGACGTGCAACACAACTGACAGCCATGGCCAGCAGATTAGCAGCAGGGACAGGCCGCATGAGCAAGTTTCGGCACGTTTGGCCCGCTCTTGGTTCGTTTCCGGAGGGCATGCCAGAGTGCTGTTCTCCCCTGCGTGCAGTCAACCCTCTTGGGACGTGGTTCACTTTGGTTTCGGAACGGGTCCGATGTTTTTTGAGTATGCCATGCTTCTTCTCCTGGCGTTCCTCGTGCTTGCGATGCCCTGGTGCAACTTTCCACTGTACTGCAAATTGCTGTGCTGCAGTCGGTTGTGTATTTCGGCTCGATCTCGAGGTTTAGAGCACATGCAAGGGTCCGCGCGTATTTCAGGACATCGGAACATGCATTTGGAGGTTAGCTTGGTTGAAGGTTTCAGGCTTATTTGTTTGTGTGTGCTTGTGTGTGTGTGTGTTCGATGCGGGGATTTGCACGCCAGTTGTCCTATGTGTTTGCAGGTTTGCCCGTGCTTGTTTCAGCAGGTCAGCCAGGATACGTTTGCAGCCACGAGGGCGCCGATATTGGTCTTCTGGCGTCACAGGGCTGGACCCAAACGCCGTGTCGCTGGACTTCGGCTCTGTTCTGTTCTTCGTCTCGGCAGGGAGGTACAGGAAGACAGGCGGAGCAAAACGAACAGCAAAACGAAACCAACACGAACAGCAACGTGTAGGTCCAGCCCTGTAGCGTCAGCTGCAGTCGAGACGCGCTCCTCAGCGGACGTCCTTGGCATGGCAGCCCTGACTAGCACAGAGGGCTGGGGCCGCCACCGCACCAGGAGCCAGCGGCTGGAGCACATCCTCGGGACCCTCGACCTCTCGGACCGGAAGGACGACGCCGTGCTGCGCCAGCTCTACGAGGCGTCGAGTCCTCCTCGGGAGAGGGAAGCGCGCGCCGACACCGCTGCTCTTTCCCTTGAGGGGCTTGTTTTTCACCACCACCACCATAAGTTGGAGGGGGAGGGGGTCCTCCTCCTCCTCCTCCTCCTCCTCCTCCTCCTCCTCCTCCTCCTCCTCCTCCTCCTCCTCTTCCCTCTCCTACATGTGGTGGAGGTGGTGGAAATGGACCCATCATCCCTTGGCACGAGATTCGTACAGAAAGAGTGGAGGCAACGACCGACAGCAGCTGCTCAAAGGAGGAGAATGTACCCATACCGCTACCCCTCGCCCGTGTTCCCCTTGTTGGGTCTCCTGGGAGGCCCTCGTCGTTACCGCTGGATTCGCCTGGACATCCTGGTCAGAACGCGTCCCGAGAGAGGTCTGGGGAGTAGCGGTATCGGTACCTTTTGGATTCCCTAGTCGTTGTCCGTTTTCGACAGGACTCGCTGTCGGTGTCGCCACAGACGTTGTCCATTTCACACAGAGTCGCCTGCCCAGCATCGGCCGCTGTCGATGTCGGACAGCGTTTGCTGTTGGGTATCGTGCCTCTGTTTCGCATACCCAATTCCGGGCGTGCCAAGCCGATGTCCTCCTGCAATTTCGCTTGTTTGGGCTTTCCGCGGGGGGGGAGGTGTTGTGCCCCTGGCGAGGGCGCGGATCCCAGCGAGGGAGCGGAGCCGCGCTGGGGAGTTGCTCAGATCGGCCGGTGGGGACGTCGGAGGCGGCGATAGGGGCGAGTAGCCCAGGGGCGAGTCTCGCCGAAGCCAAGGATCATCGGTGCCCCTGGGTACACGTACAGTGGGGGCGCGCATCAAGAAACCATATGCTTTTCGTCAGGGTATCCTGGGTTTCTTTGCTCCGCGCGCGGCGCGGCGGCTTCCCGCGCGGCGCGGCGGGTTCTCGGGGTTGGGTTTCTTGCGAGGGTTTCTCGCGGCCGCGCCCGCACTGTACCCTGAGGTCAGACGTTGCGAACTGGTTGCGCTACGCGACATATCGCGACCCAGGCCCCAGGCGCCGTCTCCCTGCTGCATTTCCTGGGCCGACATCGATCTGTGAGGGCCCGCCCGAAGCCGTGCGAGGACGCCCGTTGCGAACAGACGTCAACGTCAGGATCTCAGGGCCCACGTGCTGCCCCCGCCCCCCTTGGGGACATCCGCGCCCCTTGTCGCCCTCGAGGTCGTGCCCCCGGACTTCGGGTGCAGCGTTGGATCGGGGCTTCGCGTACTGATCTGGTGTGCGATACCCACACGTGGGGGTCGAGGGCTGCAGACGAGGGGCCCTTTTGGGGCCCCTCCGAGGGGCCCTGCAGTCCTAGGCCTCCTCGGTGGGGTCGGAGCCGATGGGGTCGGGGGATCGCGCCGCACCGCCGATGCATCGCCGCTGCGGCTCCATGTGGAGCCAGAGTTGCTTCACGTCGACGTCGCCGATGCATCGCCGACGTCGCCGTTGCATCGCCGACGCGTTGGCGATGCGGCACGATCCTCCGACCCCATCTGCTCGGACGCCATCTGGGAGGCCTCCTATGTGGGGCCCCAGGAGGGGGCCCTTTCCCCTCCCCCCCCCTCCGATGTATTGCCTCCCCGTCAGGCGACGCCCAATGGAAAGTGTGCCCCTACAGAGGGGGCTCATGCCAAGAGGCACCCTGCTCGCCTCCAGGGTGCCCTGGGCTTCGGGGCTTTTGCGATGGACGGCGCGACGCTCCCACACCACCGAAAAAGTCGGTGGACGTCCTGGGGTCTCAGGGCTGGGCTTCTCGTGGAAGGTTCCTTGTGTAGTCGGGCCCCACCGTGCCGCCAGCCGAGGCCTGGGCGTGCCACTGCACCCGGCGCGCCGTGCGCCCGCTCGATGATCTTGCGATGGGAAGCGTGCCGTCCTGGAGTCTTGGGGTTGGGTTTCTCGTGGAAGGTCTCTTGCGGTCGGGCACCTACTGTCGGGGGCGGAAAAGAGGGGGGTGATGACTAGGGGGGGGTGGATATCATGGCGGGGGCCACGATATCTCCCCAGATTTCATGGCGCCTCTTCTTGTTTCATTACGTCCCTGGCCCCCCCGCTGGGCCGCGCACATGCCGCTGGTCATGATTTGCACCCCCCCCTCTTGGACACCCCCCTCTTGGCCGCTCCCGATACTGTACGCCCGGTGGCTTTCGGACCACAGCTTGGCTCTGCGGTGGCTGTCCTGGGCGATCTGGGCAGCCCCGGAGCGCTTTTGGCGAGGCGCGGCCGCCGGACCGCATCTCGAGGATGGAAGACCGCCGAGAACCAACGAAATGCCGATGAGTGCAAAACGACGACGGCGACCACCACCACCACCACAACGACAAGGACGACCACGACGACCACGACGACGAAGACGAGGCTGGAACGCATCCCGAGGCTGGACAAACCGCCGAGAACCAGCGACAATGCCGATGAGTGCAAAACAACGACGACGATAACGACGACGACGAAAACGACGACGACAACAACGATCACGACCACGACCTCGATCTCGACCTCGACCACGACCACGACCACGACAACGACCACGACGACCACGACGACGACGACGGCGACGACAATGACGACTACGACGTCCACGACGACCACGACAACGAAGACGAGGCTGGAACGCATCCCGACTCTGGAAGCACCACCGAGACCAACGAAAATGCCGATGATTGCAAAACGACGACGACGATCACGACCACGACGACGAAGACGACGACCACGAACACGACGACGACGACGACGACGAACACGACGACGACGTTGACCACCACGACCACGACCACGACCTCGACCACGACCACGTCCACGACCACGACGTCCACGACCACGACGTCCACGACGACCACGACGACCACGACGACGATTGCGACGACGCCCACGGACACCACGGCGACGACGACCACGACGCCAACGGCGACCACGACGACGCAGACGAGGCACCGACGGCAGCGCACCAAGCGGCCTTGAACCTCGAGCCTTCCCCCCTTCGGCGCGCCGCCCGTCCCTTGGGCGCGCCGGTCCTTGCGCGCGATGTCGCGCCGCAGGTGATCGACAGGCTCCGCGTGAGCGCGAAGGACGCCCAGAACTACGTGGACCGCTCGCTGGCGCCGCGCCGCGCCCGTGGCGGGGGGTGCCGCGGCGGCAGCCGCGGCGACAACGGCCACGGCCGCGTCGACGACCACGTCGACGACGGCCACGACGGCGGCCACGACCAGGACGGCCACGGCCACGGCGACGACCACGACGACCACGACGACCACGACTACGACGACAACGACGACCACGACGACGGACTTCGACGACGACGACGACGACGACGACGACCACGGCGGCGACGACCACGACGACGACGACCCCCACGACCAAGACTACGGCGGCCACGGAGACGACGGTGCAGCTCCTGGTTTCTCGGTGGGGCTTCCTGCAGCGACCTCGGCGCCGCTGCCTGATGCAGTTCTGGCCAGAGCGCATCCCTGGACAGGTCCAAGGGCCGATGTTATGACCCCCGGGACCTACAGTCAACCCGCACAGTAAGGATGGGCAACCTTCCCAAGGGTACCCTTGCATCCTTGCCCGTTCGGCCCATCCTTAGCGACTCTCGCTGGCCAACCTCGTTCGAAAAACGCTAACGTGGCGCTCTTGCATCCTTACCGCGCATCCTTCTAAAACGGGTTGACAGCAGTTAACCAGCGACTCGAAGACACGTTTTGAGCCAACTTCTATTGCACAAGCCAGGGTCTCGCGCGTTGTCTCGCGCATCGCAGGTCGGCACTGCTCGCCTGTGATGGGAACAGCAAATCTCGCGCCAGACGGTTTTTCCTTCATTTTGTCTCGCAGTCGTCGTCGTCGTCGGCGGCGCCGTCGCCGTCGCAGTCGCCGTCGCCGTCGTTGTCGCAGTCGTTGTCGACGTCGTCGGGCCGCCGTCCTCGCCGTCGTCGACGCCGCCGGCGTCCTGGGCGTCGGCGGCATATGTTTGCTGGGCGCGTCCAAAGCCAGAGCCCCTGTTTGCAACATGGGCGCGTGAGGGGAAATGATACGCACAGACACACATGACTGTCGATGTCCAGGGGAAAATTGGAAACTGTGGAAGTGGAGGGGGAGACGACCATCCAGAAGACGTGTAAGCATGTGGAGAGCCGTGGGATCTGTGCCTACATATGTCGGCGGTGCCCGGTGCGGAGCGAGCCCCCCCCCCTTGGTAAACTCCATCCTTGGGGGTTCCGAGCCGGCGGCACCGCTGGTGCGAGCCAGCACGAAGCCCCCGGTAAGCACGAACCCTCCCGGCAGCCGGCAAGAACCCCCCCGGTAAGCACGATTCCGCCCCCGGTATGCGCGAAACCCTTTGGCACGCACGAACCTCCACCCGGATGATGCGTGACCGCCCCCACGACGTGCCGGAACAAGGCGGCACCGCTCTTCTGTACGCGGCCGTTCCGTCGACCCCTCCCAGGAGGCTCGGAACGTCGTCCGGGGCAGGTGGCCCACCCAGGAGTTGCAGCTGCCTCCTGTTGCCACGTGCCCAGCAGTGTCGACAACAGCGCTGCCAGCTCCTCCTCCTCCTCCTCCTCCTCCGCCTCCTCCTCTCGGGGCGCCGCACCGGCACAAGCCCCCCCGACAGAAGCGTCCCTCAGGACCGACACCTCCGCGCGATGGGTGCAGCCGCGGCCTCGCGGCGCTGACTCCCTGTGTGCCGCCTGCACGCTGCGCGCTCGGGGTGGCGGCCATGGTGAAGGTGGAGCTCGGATCCGCCTGCGGCGCCCTTCTGGGTGGGCGCTCACGGGCCCAACTGCATCGTCATCACCGGCGTCTACGTTTTCTCCGATGCGGTGCGGCCATGGCGGGCCCTCCTGGCCTGGACCCCGAGCCCTCCTTCTTCTTCTTCGCGAAGTCGGTGCCCGTAGACACCGAGTACAGCATCCAGTGCGTGGAGTACCCGATCTTAGCACTGTTCCCGCGGCCGTTCCTGCTCGAGCCCGTGGCGCCCTTGATGATCGAGGACCTCAGGCCGCCGCTGCACTTGGCCGATACACGTCAGCCAGACCCTGTCCAGCTCGAGGGCGAGCCTGCGGCCCCGTCGCGCATCGCCAGGGACGTGATGGCGAACGCCACTTCCGCGGATGTGCTGGCGGACGACGACACTGAGGTAGTCCCGCTGGAGCGTGTCATGGAGGGCACGTCGACGGAGAGCGAGTGCTGCATGGAGAGGGCAATCGACAGCAAGCTGGACGACTGGGGGGAGGTGGTCGGCCCAGGCGTGGGACGACTTGCATTATCCGCGGTGCCGGCGACGCGCTACGCTATCCCCGAGCCTATCGTACTCCCTCTTGTCCGTTTGCTGGAGCAGTCGAGCGATATTGAATCCGAGTTCACGTTGATACTCGACGAGGTTTACGAACGCACGAGCTGCCACGACTTCATGGACCAGCCCGACGGGGCGACTACACTTCAGGGCGCCGTCGAAGACATTATTCACCACCTCTTCGATGAGTGAGCCCTTGGCGTACACGCACAGTGATTTTCCCGTTTGCCAGGAAACCGGCCTGCCCTGGCTGGGGGTGGCGTCGACCATCCCTTTGAGCCCGGCAGTGCGGCAGGCACCAGGTCATGATGGTAACGGCCTGAGGCCGTGGACAGCGGGCAGCCTCGATCATTTTTGTCGTGTGCGTGTGTGTGCGGCGCGGCGCGTGCGGCATGTGTGTGTGTGTGCACTCTGGTAACATTGCCCATCAGCTGCGTACTACTACTCCTCCTCTCGTCCTCCTCGTCCTCGTCCTCGTCCTCCTCCTCCTCCTCCTCCTCCTCCTCCTCCCCGCCCGCGCCAGGCGGCAGGCGCCGTGGCATGCGCAGCGTGTCCGTTGCCGTACCTGCCCCCAGGCCTCCGTCTGCCCAGACGGGAGGTCGACCACTCTCTGTTTTCCCGCCCGATCTCGATCCCTGGCTGGCATCGCCGCGCCCGCAGCAGCGTGCCCGTGGCAGGTCGTCTTGGGAGGTCAGTTGGCGCGACAGAGACAAGCATCACGGCTCCCTAGCTCGCATGCGAGGCTCGGGCGCGGGCGGAGATGACCGCGCCGCCAGCAGCGCGCAGGCGAGGAGGAGCCAGCCCCAGAAGGAGCCGCGATGGGCCTGCATCGCTACGCGGCAGTGCGGCTTCCAGGGCAACTACTCCAGCAATGAGAAGTGCTACCAGTGCGGCCGCTATCGTCGTGGGGTTCCTGATCCCAATCGAGCTCTCGGCCTGGGCGATCGTCTCGCCCACGTTCAGGAGTGGAACATGCGAAGGCAGACAAGGACGGCGGTGCAGCGGACAAGCCCGCCGATGCTGTCGCCCAAGCACGACGAGCGCTCCAGGCTTTGCGGAAGCTTGGGTTGCCCGACGACAGCGTTGTCATTCAGCAAGCCAGACGTGATCTGCAGGTGGCCGAGGAGAAAGAACAACATACTCGGACGCCTGATGCCATGTTACGTCGCTCGCTCGGCCGCCACACGGCGAAATCAAGGGGGGTGGAGGAGCTGCGTAAGACCGTCGACGCCTTGGAGGAGGAGCTCCAGGCCAAGAAAGCGGCGTTCGCCACCGCCTCCGCAGAGTTGCAGAACATTCAGGCGGAGGTCAACTTGGCTCGTGCGGCAGTCTTGGCATCTACGGCCTCCTCATTGGCGCCGTCGGCAGAGGACCTTTCGTTGCAGGATGCGATCGGGAGGCCCCAGACAGTGGTCAAGGGCGCGCCCACGGCAATCTTGGCAGGCAACCCGCAGGCCATGCTGGGCTTTTTGGCGCAGCAGCTCAGTCAGCTTCAGCACCTCGCGCAGCAGCCGCATGCGGGCGCTCAGCCACCAACGGCAGCAGCAGCAGCAGCAGCCCACGGGGCACCAGCTACTGCTGCCGCGACCGATGGAGCGGCCGCCGCCTCAGTTTTAAGTACCCCAGCAGTTCATCCTTGGCAACAGCACTTCGACGAGCAGGAGGCTCGCGACGCTAACATGGTGGACGCGCACGGGTAGCTGGAGAGCGCAGGTACTCATCATCATGCCGCGACTGTTCCAAGGAGGTGTATGGTCTCTGGATGACTTACCTCTCAGTGAATTGGTTGCTTTAAACCATCGGCACGTCTCAGGCTCTATCGGGCACGCTTCGCGGACTCAGAGGAACGGATCTGCGCGGTTGCACTTCTCAGATGGCTCTGGTGCGAGGCGAGGCCCGAGAAGGGCCAAGAGGAAGCCGTTCACCTTCATTACATACAACGCCAATGGATGGCACAGGCTGCGCGACTTCTTGCAAGATGGCGCAGCTGGGGCTCTGATCGTTGCGTCGCGAGAAGTTCGGCTCCGAGCTGATCAGCGACGTCAGGCCGAAGAATGGTGCCGTCGCAATGGGTGGAAAGCGTTCATTACGGACTGCTTGACTGGGCCCTCTGGTAAGCCGGTGGCAGGAGTAGGCCTGTTCGTCAAACAACACATATGGACCACTTATCTGGATTCTCTTCCTGGAGTGTACGACCATGTGCTCGGGAAGTCGTGGTGCGTGGCAGTGTGCATTCATGCAGGTCCCCGTGGAGGTTTCATCGCTGGCAGCCTCTATCTTGAGGAAGGTCTAGGGCTCGCCTACGATGACATACCTCGTATAGAGGCGCTGGGCCACATGCTTCGATTCTACAGGGCGCCTTACATTATTGCGGGTGACTGGAATGTGAGCCCGCAAATTTTGAGTGGCAGCGCGTGTGTGGAGAGGGTTGGCGGCCATTTGGTTGTAGCACCTGAAGGCTCTCATCGAGTCGCAGCCTCGGGCAAGTGCACGTTCCTAGATTACTGGCTCGCGTCTGACTCCATGGCCGCTGAGATGGACAACGCTCGCCGAGTTGAGGACTATCCAGCTCGACCACATTTTCCAATGAGCGTTGAAGTTGGACCTCGGCCCCGTGCTAGGCACGTGGCCCAGCTACAGGCACCTCGAGTCTATCCTGGGAAGCCCTGTCGTACGCCACGCCTGGCAGAGGATTCTGAAGACGATGACAATGGTTCCGTTCCCCTGGGGGATCCAGGTTTTGATTGGGTCGAAAGGGTGCGTCACGACTCCAAGCTGGGCCCAGGCGCACGCGAATAACGAGAA